AGACCCCAGACTCTCTTGTTTTAGCAGAAAATACTAACCCTTTATTTTCAGAACAAGTTGCAAATCTGTTCCAGGCTTGTTGCCTATATGGTAGCTCCTGTAGCTCCTTTGCACAGATCCTGATGAAGTCGAAATTTTCGATCTTTTCACTGCTCCTTGATTTCCACAGTTAGGAATGTTTTACTCATCCTCAGGATACGGAGGAATTCACTTCCGTTTTCTTTCAGCTCTGGCATGGCTTTTATGTTTGTGTTTAGCCCCTGGCCTTTCTATATTTTAGCCTTATGAGAAGTGTAAGGAATTAAACCAATGTTACTTTTTTTTCTAGGTGACTACCTCTCCAAAGCTTCCTTAACTTTTTTTTCCTTTCCTTCCACTGGTGAAGATATGGTTGGACTATTGCTCCCAGTTGCATGCCAGAATGAGATAATAAGACCTTATTGCTGATGACATCACCCACTCTGGACATGGGGGCATAGAAATTAGGCAGAGCCAAGCAATATATAATATTATATATAATATATTAATATATAATAGTATATAATATAATATATTATATTATATATTAATATTATATTATATTATATATATATATATATATATATATATATATATATATATATATTAACTGACAAGCATTCATACCAAAAAGGACCTATGAAGCCTTCTGGGAGAGAAAATTCATCAATGGCTGTATTAAGTTGTAACACCAGCATTCCATGACATCAATCTGACAAGTAATATGTGCCCACTGATGGATGGCATGGCTGATGGGGGAGGGCGCAGTTCCTGTACATCTGGTAAACACCTTCAGGCTGAGGGGTGGGGCACAGGCTCTAGCGGAGAGTATGTTCTGAAGTCCTGTAACTAGGTAAGTGCTCAGACTGCCTTTAAGCATGTATGTTCATTCTAAGGGACTCAAGCTTGGTCTGAGAAGCCTCACGCTGCAGAGAGTGTTGTTTAACGTGGAGACTCAAAACTGGTCAAAAAGACAAAAATCTGTGACTTCTGAGTCCTTGTCCCCAAATAGGACTTTTACAATGACCTCTACATTAACAGAATATTGCAGAACAGGGGAAGAAAAGCTCAGAAGAGTAGGAGGATGAAGAGAAATGTCTAAAACTCACTTTTCTCGGTATGGTAGGGCCAGGATGACCATGAACACACAACAGCAATACGATTTGCATGAAGACTTGCTTAAGGACATGAAAGTAGAACGTAATTGGTTGGAAGGAAAAAAGAGAGCTGGAGGGAGAAAGAGAGGGTGAGGGAAGGTAGAAGGGGAGGGCTATGATCAGAAGTCATTGCACACATCTAGGAAACTGGCGAAAAATTTTGATGATGTGGCTGGCCAATATCATGTACTAAATATTCCTATAGAGCTCTGTTAATTGCTAGATTGCAATATTGATATCAAAAATATTAATCCCAAGTATGGTGAGCTGAGTTTCTATTGTACATGCACAATTTTTCCTTCTCTGTGTTTTTTTTCATGTCTGTCCTATTTAGAAACAACAAAGAAACTTTAATTGGTGTCACACTAAATAATAATCTATACATATTTAATTCTATTGGCAAACTTTACAATTATATGTAGTTTTCTTAGTACAGCCATTGTCAGGTTGGGAGAATCAATCAATACTAGATCCAGAAAATGAAACGAGAGGATTTCTTTCTTTTCTGCATATTCTGATACCATTTATACACATTGGACTGTTGAGTTACTGCAAGTGTGATAGAGTTTTCTGTGAAACCCACTAAATCTGATGCCCCTCTGCAGGGGATTAATTTTTATGGTTATTGTTTTGGTTATACTTTTATCAGAGTCGTTTGTGGTGAGTCAATTTTCTTCGTTATCCATTTTAAAATATTTTCTCACTAGATTTTTGTCTGTGTGGGTGTCTTGCCTGCAGGTGTATCTGTGCACCACATCCATGCAGTGCCCAAGGGCACCAGAAGAGGGCACACGATCCCCGGAAACTAGAGCTACTGCCTGTTGTGAGCCTGTGTGAGTACTGGGAACCAACTGGGCCCTCTGGCAGAAAGAACAAGTGCTTCAACTGCTGAGCCATCTCCCCACCTCTCTTCATTATCTGCTTTTAATCAGGCTTTTCAAATCTGTTGGTAGAGAGAGACAGAAAAATTGACCTTACTAAAACGTTTTGGATGGGCATTCTCCTTTTAATTTTTAAGTGTGTGTTTTGCTTTTTATCTCATGTATTTCTCTTTTTTTTTGGATTATCTTATGTCACATTTTCACAGTTTTTTATATTAATCAAATAGCTTGAAATGGCTACAGAGCTATTTTCTGTTTTAACTATTTATTTGCACTTGTATTTGCATTGACTACAATAGAATCATTACTCTATTGTTCTTTTTCCACATTTTTGAGTGGGGTGTTCAGATCATTTGTTTTGATTGGCATTGATATAGATCTATGAGGCTAGAAACATTTCTCTGAAAACTGGCATATACCCAGGGCTTTGTCTCTCTGTGTGTGTTTATTATTGCTCTTTTAACAAGTGTGCAATTTTGAGTTCTTTCTGTTTGCAATAATATCTTTTTATTTATTTTGAAAAAAGCAAACAGTATTTTGCCTCGCATTATTCCACTGTCTCCAATATGCCCCCTACTGACTTTAAACAGCTAATGGTTTTTGAATGGTAAATACAGGCACAAGTGCTTGTGTGTGTGTGTGTGTGTGTGTGTGTGTGTGTGTGTGTGTGTTACAATAAACTCTGGTAAGAAAAAAATTTTTAAATGGGTGGATAGAAACCATCTTCTTCAATAACCTCATTTCTGAGTTCTTTGGCATTACATGCTCTGCCCATTTAGTAGACCCACACCACGGGGATGTTTGCTTTGCTGTATACTTTAATACACTCATAAGAACATATGCCAGCCGGGATTGTAGCACAGTGCGGTATGTGACAAATGGATTTGCACCACTGTATAGTGTCCTGCTGAGGTGAGAAAGAAGGGATGTTGCTTTCAGGAGGAGCTGGGGAAAGATTTCCACACATGCTGCCTCACTAATCCTTTTCCTCTTTTAGTATTCTTGTAGCAATACTCGTTAAGTTCCCCTGTTTATGGGGGGCTTTCAGCAGCTCCTTCATGAACAGTTACAAGCAGCTCCTTTCAACTGCAAGCTGAAAGCTCATACTGACTGCATGCTCACACGCTGAAACAAATCTCCTCACCCCCTCCAAACTTCAGCCTAAAATCCAAACCTCAGTGGGCCTGTCATCTTCTCACTGCGTGGCCCACGGAGGAATACACATTGGCTTTAGCTCTCTGTCTGTGAAACTCTTGCTGCCCTTTCATCTCCATTTAATTGGTGCCTCATATCAGAGCAGCAGTTGAAATGTGATTACACCTCAAGCTCACTGGGGAATTCAGGAGCTTGCCAGGAGCAAAGAAACTTAACAACATTGTAGAGAAACAAAACCCAGCGCAGTTGGGCCAGCACTGGGCAGCATAGATCAGTGAGCGTGCCAGAATAAGAGCCCACGTCAGAGCAGGCAGCTGAGGAGAGCTAGAACCCCGGAGCATGAGAAGAGACCACAGCACAGGGCCATCAGCCAACCTGGAGCTGCAGAAGAGTGGAGAGGGAGCAAGCTCGCTTTCCCAGCTGACCAAGTGGGATCAGATCAAAGAGCCCGATGGAATTGTTTCGTCTGGCACAGAGTGCCCTTCAGAACCAGAGCCAGGGCTGGTGCCAAGGGCCCACTAAAAAAGCCTTCCATGGACGATCCACAGGCAATCCATCCTCAGGGCTGAATAAAGAGGTGGTTTTAGAGACAGCTCTGCCACCCGGCACTGAAATAACCACAGCTAACCACAGTAAAGTGTCAAAGCGGCTGCACGGCTAATAGTTTATCCATGAGCAGCACCGGGCCACTAAGCAGGGTCACGGCCCTGTTCACAAAATAGCAGCAGATAAAGAAGAAATGAAATCGGGATGTGGATGTATGATTTCTCTATTATTACGTGAGATTTGGCTTCAGAGGAAGGCCAATCAAGGGGGTTTTTCTTTTCAAAAGTGAACTCCGTCCCGAAAGACGCTCATGTTAAAAACAGCTGTCCTTCTTTGCCTCATTTTCTCTTCTGTTTGCTTATCTGAGGAAATAGAGCATAAAATGCAGCAGCTGATGCATCTACAACACAATCCCTACACCAGGAGGACAGGGAAAAAATCAAGGAAGAGAAGGTGGAAAGATTGTAAGAGCCTGAGGAGCCGGACATGTCTTCTAGACATGACAGGGAAGCTGCATCATGAGATCTTAACAAGAGAGCTATCTAAGCAAGACCTATACAGTGACAACATCGGCCATGCCAATGTGGAGGGGAACAGGCCCACAGCTACAGTCAACTGCAGCTTAGGAGAGAATCGGCTTTTTGGTGTGTGTGTGTGTGTGTGTGTGTGTGTGTGTGTGTGTGTGTTTCTAGAGACAAGCTGCCTGATAGGTTGTCCATTCCCTAGTGTTCATTCCTAAACACACGTACAAAGAAGTGACATTAAATGAACTCATTAGTTTAATTATTTTTAAAGCTTTGTATGTTTCCCTCTTATTGAAATTATATTTTTTCATACGATATATCCTGATTATAGTTTCCCTTCCTTTTACTCCCTCCAGTTCCTCCCCACCTCCCCTACTCTCTAAATCAACTCCCCCTCTCTCTCTCATTAGAAAAAGAAAGTGGGTTTTTAAAAGATAACAACCAAACATGACAACATAAAATATAATAAAATAAAATTTAAAAAACCTATCATATCAAAGTTTTACATGGCAACCCAACAGGAGGGAAAGAGTCCCAAGAGCAGGCACAGGATTCAGAAACCCACTCATTATCACACTCAGGAATCCCATAAAAATACTAAGCTAAAGCTATAACATATACACAGAGGACCTGGTGCAGACCCACAAAGACCTGTGTAGGCCCTGTCATTTCTGCTTCAGCCTCTGTTGAGTTCATATGCGCCTTGCTTAGTTGATTAAAAAATTATGAAACACTTCACAGATTAGCAAGTCATCCTTGCACAGTGGCCATGCTAGTCTCTGTACCATTCCAATTATAGTATACGTGCTGCCAAAGCAGGCACAATTTTTAATTAATTATTTTTTAATTTCTTACTTGATTCTTATATTTGCATCACCACCATCCGTCTCTATCTCTCCCCCTTAAACTCCTCCCATGCCTCTTACTCCCTTTTAAAGTTATGACCGATGGAATGGTGAACCCATGTGAATAGAGAGGTTTTACAGAGATTCATGCTGTGGATTTTGTTAGTTGTATCACCAAAATCTCTTTACTTAAATATCTTTAGTAAAAATACCTTGGAATATTATATGTTCTTTCATTGCTTAGTATTTAAACGTGACAGTGATTTGGAACTGCAGAATTCTGTATCGTTACATCACCACACCAACGTGTCAACACATTCTGTGGACGCTTGTTTAGAGATACCCATTTGTCAAAAAACAAATTCCCCATGACGAGAAATGTCTTTCTTATTGTTAACACTTGCTTCAGTCCTTCCTCCAAAGCTCAGACTCCTTTGTGAAAATTACAAATGATATAAATTCAGCAAGACTCTGAAAATGATACATGCTTTGTGTGGTTCTTAAACTTTGTCTCTCTCATCTTTGAATGCTTCCCTCAAAATAGAAATTAAGGGTATTTTACCTCATTTTAAGTGTATTCTGTCTGCTTTGATTGATGGTTTTGTTTTCGTTTCTTGTTTTTTTCTTTTGTTTTGTTTTATTTTGTTGTTATTGGTGAACCTATGGCTTCTCTGCCATTCATTTGTAATCTACCTTTACTTACTCTTCATTGGCTTGCAGATATTATTCCACCTTTCTTTACCTTTCTTTCTCTTTATCTATCTTCCTTTTTTTTCTTCCTGTTGTTTATCCAACATGTTATTAATTCTAGGTTGGTCTGAAACGCACGATGTTGCTCACGCTTGTCTTAACTTGTGGCACAGCTTCTGCCTCAACGCCACCTGCCAATGGCTGCTCAGACCACAGGTTAGGTATGTGTCACTATACCTGCCCCATAAAGTTGCTTTGCTATAACTCACTTTGTTTCACCAACAAAAGAATTGCTAGATTCAGTTTTCACTCTTTTATCCCCCGTTTGGCTCTCAATGAGCACGTGTTATTAATGACAGTTACTAAGTAGATCTAGAAATATGAAGCATACAATGAGCATTCAGCTTGGCAATAAATTTCTTGCTTTTCTCTCTTTTTATCATTTCAATTGCCATGTAACTATGAGGTTTTTGTTTATATCTCTGTACCCCTGAGCTAGATCCCCACTCCTAAGAATGACAGTATTTTGAACTTCAAGAGAACAGGTACTTATTCTGTAGCCCATGTGTGCCATCTCAGCCGCCTGTGCCCCAGGCACGCACTCAGTGGACGACTCTGGATGCTTCCATTTTTGTGTGACCTGGTTTTTTTAGTTCAGTAAGTGAGTATGTCTTCTTCCATTTGTTCTTTCACTGAAAAATACAGATTTAAAATGAGTGTTCAAATGGAGGCGACCTTAGGAGACTCAAATGATGCCTGAGATTTTAAGTAGCCATCACTACTGCTCTCTAGTTTTCAATTACACTGTATGTACTCAATTAGATCCGAATATCTGGAAGCAAACCACCTCAAGTACATCTAAAAGGCCAAGTGAGGAATGCCACATCTGAAAAAAGCCTCTTCTCATCCTGAGTAACTCCGGAAGCCATCTCAGAGCTCTTCTTCCTAGCAGAGGAAAACATTTTGAGTGGAAACTCTTCTGTACCTAATAAACTCTCAGGGTGATGCCAAGGCTTTCTGCTGCCTGAGATGAAAGCTTCCTGAGAGATGCTGATTTGGGACTCTGCTGAGATGGGCATTGGTAGTGCCCCACAGAGACACTCCATCTGGGAAAATGTCAGGAAGGTGCAAAGTTTCGTCTGATGTAATATGTAAGACAAGATGTATTACTTAGTGTAACTGTTAAAGAAAGTCCCTGAACTAGGGTATGGTTTTCTCAAAGTTTTAACAGATAAAGTAACCGATTACATTAATGAACTAAATATTTGTTTTTCTTTCTTAAAGTATTTAAGCATAAGCTTTCTGTTGGGGTGCTAGTGGACATAAATAATACATTTGATTAGGCAGAGTGAAGTTGAATTTCTCTGTTACAACATAAAGGTGCAGCAGGGAAAGATGGCATGAGCTTGTAGTCCTAGTGCTCTGGAGACAGAGGCAGGAGGATACTATGAGTTTGAAACCAGCTTGGACTACTTAATAAGTTAGACAATTGAAGGACCGTTTTATGAGAGTACTGGGAAGATAAAGGTAACATGATCTTCAAAAGTCATTGCTTATCCTGATAATTCTAAGATTAAGGGAATGTGCCACATTTTCCTTTAAACACTCTAAGATAGAAAAGATGAGCCAAATAGACTACTAGTTTGTACAAACATCTTCCCTCCTGGAAACATCTACAACTTCTCACAAGACAGAATTGCCCTGGCAGTGGAGGAAAGTAGCCTTCAGATTCACTTATTGTCTACTTGTGGGTCTCTGAGTGAGAGCAGAGATCCACAAGGCCACTCTTGGAAACCAAGGTTCTCCTTAGGCAACTTCAATAACATGCTCACACCTATTTATCTTTGTTTTCATTGATTTTCATTATGCAAATGCAAATCAAATAAAAAATCAATATGCACTCACAGTGTTTACATGAGTATATATTGTCATGCTTTGTTCATTCTCTCCCCATTACCTTCCTCGTTTCCCAGCATTCCACACTGCCCCGTTCCCTCTCTGCACATGACCTTCTTTCATGTCCCACATACTGTTTTGTTGATACCTCTGATGTATAAACAATGTAACTTTTTACTGAGAAGATATAAATTGTGTGTCTAAATATGTCATTGTCATAACCTTGGCCAATGTAAGAAGTACAATTTCCTAACTCAGTGGAATTTTTGGAGGCTTAAAAGGGGTAAATAACGGATCGTTTTTCCTTCATGTTCTCCATTTCCTTCACACATGTTTATACCCACAATGCAAACTCCATAAAGTTTCATTTTTTCGAGTATAAAGAACCCCGTTTTAGGGAGGCTGTTAAGAATGACAGCACGATTGTCTTCCCTTTTGGCAATAAGCTCAGCCTTCAAATAATAAATTTTGTGTGTGTGTTTAGAGACTAGCTGCTTGGACTCATCACAATTTATTGCTTTTTTTCATGCTGAGATAAAGACTTATTGCTAAACACATTTGCTTTTTGGTGCTTTGGAGCCTGATTGCTCCTGGGTGCCAATTACACTCTGGCAGGAGCCTGGAGGTCTCTATGGAGCAGCTGGTGTCAGCATCGCATGAAATATGCTTCTGAAATGGATCATTCTGCTGCTCAGGGAACATGTAGTAGAGGCTTAGCTGAAATAAAGAAAGAACAAAGCTGTGGCATCCAAAAATAAAATCAAAGGGGATCAAGTTAAGGTTATTTATATATACTGTTACTGGACTCAATATCCTAAATACCTCACAGCTGTTCAAAATTTGAGAAGAAGAAATCAAATATATCACTAACTTCTCCTTGGCTGGTGGGTTCATGGGCCAGGTATATCCGTCATCCATCCACCACTAAAAAAGCCACTGCTATGCTGATTGTGTCTCAGTTCTGCCTCGCAGTTAGAACCTGTGGTTAGGAGAGCTGGATCCAGCATTGGTTAAGTGGGTTAAAAGCTCAGCTGTGCGACTTCCTGACTCTGTGACCTTGGCCAAAAAAAAAAAAAATTAATCTCCTAAATCTCTGGTTTTCCATTCACTCAATGGGGAAAAAAATCATTGTTGTTACCTTTGGGGATTGCTGTGGGAATTCATTGAAGTAGTCGATGTGAGGCTCTGGGTTGCTTTCTCAGTTATAAAGTTCTCAGCAGGCATGAACAATGCCTATCACTTCCATGAGGATGTAAAGCTGAGCCATAGGCATCAGAGCCAAAGCTGCTTCCTAACCCTGGGTGTGCCCAAGCTGATGGATGCAAGGAGTACTCAGTCTTCTTGAAACAGAAGCCTAATTTCTTCCGCAGATGCCCTCGTTGCCCCATGACTCAGTGCTCAGCCGTCCTCTCATATTGGCATTTTGCCCATATTTCCTAGCACTTCCTCACAACTAGGCCTGTGATCTGATGATCCCCAAAGGAAAACTGACCATCCATGATATCCCTAAGGAACTGGGCACACATTGGTCTCAGCAGATGGGACCAATATGTGGAAGACTCAGCATTCTCACATTCGGCCTAAAACCATGTTCAGACTTATCCTAAATCTTGGGACCTGTTCGATTCTTGAGGATTATTTTTTTTTTGGAGGATTATTAAAAATTTTGTGCCCATTTCCATGCCATTGTTACAGGACAGAACTACCTAGGAAGAATAAATTATCTTTAAAATTAAGAATGCGGTATTTTATCAGAGTTGATTTTAATCGTGTTTTGTTGTGGTTCCTGTATTGCTTTATGTAATAAATACACCATATACGCAAACAGGGAAGCTGGGCTGGAAGAGCAGTTAGAGTGAGAGAATCTTGAAATAGCTAGGCACAATTGACAAAGAAAAAAGAAATAGATCTTGAGAATAATGTAGTTTGGGAAAAGGATGAGCTTGGGATTCAAGAAACCGTGTTTGCAATCACTAGCATATATATATATGAAGAAGCAGATTACAAGTAAAGAGTGTGCTGAACTTAGAGTGGCTGGCAAAGACAGCCAGCGTCCTGGAGGAAAGTGGTTTCTGGGGCACAGAGTAAGATGGAGCTGCGCCTCCCACTCATTTCAAGGCTCAGCGACTAAGTACAGGGGACAAATGGGAATAACTAGCTGTGGCTCCGCAGCCCTTTCTTCATTGTGAAGAGAAACAAAACAAGCACTGCCGTACCCACAGAAGCAGTCTAAAGCTCTTCATCAGATGCTCTCCAGGATGCGCACAGACAGAAATGCAGAAATGTAGGTGACAAAGGAATATAGGGAAGCTGGGTGCGATGGATCAGGTTGAATTCCAGTATTCGGAGGACTGAGATGGGAGGATCACAGTGTTAGAGATGAGCAGAGACT